GTCACATACTAATACTAACTGTACTGTACTGTACTAAAATTGTCCTGCAACTCTAATATATTCTTAAATAAAACCATTTTAAACTGTTCTTTAAATGTAGATACTTTTATAGCCTTCTTATGGAATCTACAAATATAGGTTGATATGTTTAGTTATTTACACCCCATACAGTCTTCGCCAGTTTTCTATAATTATTTGCTATTACATAGCCTATTATGGTAGATGATGTATCTAATTTTGTATCCTAGTTCTTTCCATGTGCTGTGTCTCTAAGGCTATAAACACCAACGACTTCTGCCTCAGATTTAGTTAGTTGCAACAGTTGTAGCGTTAGTATTTTTCACTATACTTCATGGCAGCTTACATGCTCCCCAACATTACAGTACTACCAGATCGTAGGTAACCACAGTCTACAACATTGTACCTATTTTCTACTGAAATCTTTGAGTGATTCTCTGCATGGCAACTAAGTCTGCTACTGCTGTTGTATCGAGCTCTCCATCACGCTACTTTCTATAAATTTGTGTCGATTGTAGATTTATTTTACAACAGGTACGATGGAATAATTCCATTGCATAAAATCCTTTATGTAGGCTCCAAGATATGGTACCATATCGATTTTTGTAGAAAATAAATCGAATTTTAAAAATTTTCAAGTAACGTTTTTAACTTTAAACTGTATTTAATTAAGTGGTCTAGATGATTACAGCAATTAAAAATCAAATCCTACAAAATATAGATAATTTTCTCGTAATTCGAATATATATTCCTGTAATGGCTACTTACAATTAGCACTAGTATTACTATTAACATCGTAAAAATCTATATTCTACCTAGAAATTTTAGTATTATAGTACTGTATACATATAGCGAAACCAGTTCAACGATAAGCATGCACGCTTTACCCATTCTACTTTACTATAGTTATTCAACTATTTTACATCGTTATACACGCTAAAACTTTATACGATGTTTTTCTCATGCTCACTGCAATCAAGACAACTTTTTACTTGGTTATTCTCTGTAATTTCTTACGATTGTAGCGGACAGATAATATCTTGAAACATCACAACGTGCAGTCCATTTAATAATTAAATGAAACAGCCTATAGCACACTATAAGATATGCAAAATGCATCTCAGTCAATATTTTCTCGATAAATCTATATCCTATATTCTTAATTGAAATCATTCTTAGTCATGGATTATTTTAATGGAAAACATACCAAAGGTAATTTTATTTAACCCAGATGATGAAAGTAAACGGTTGTAGAAGTAGGTAATTATATGTAATATAATATGCTATGAAATTCAAATAAGGCAAGGAGTATTTCATTAATTAATAAATCTATATCTTATATTTCTTAATTCAAATGATATTGACCTTGACCACTTCTGTTAGAGGGCTTATTTTGAAGCTAATCTTATTTAATACTGATGGCAAAGACTAACCATGGCGATAACGGAAATTATTAGATGCCGGCGTAAAACTTCAGATTAAGCTGACCGCAAAGTTATGTATTCGTTCATTTTTTGAATACATAGATTATATAATTATCGTTCTATACCACGTTAAACAGTTTAAGTTTTGACTACTGTTGGTAAAAAATTATCTACATTAAAATTTTTTTGTGCTTACCTGTCGTAGTTTGGCCATAGCTGATGATAGCAATGGCAAAAATGATTGCCAAGACGGAAGTTGAATTTGCTGCCATTCCGCTGTTGTAATTTACGCTTTTTCTTTATCGTATTTACCAATCACGGAGTTTTTATGTGATATTTCTTCATCGATTTCATCTAATGCAAACCTAAAAAATATTTTACCGTTTTACTAGTGAGACTGTGCGTAATTCGCTTTTAATACTTAAAAGCTATTAATATATATATATATATGAATTAGTGTGATAAGAATCAACGTGGTCAGGATCGAAAGGAACGCTACAGGGAACAATTGACAATAATGAGATTAGTTCGTATTCAAAACAAGTTACTTTCGGTAACATACACGTGTACTTACTGGTAGTATATCTTGACAATTGCTGTCTAATTTTCAGTCTTCTAGCGGCACTATTTTACCAAAGTAAGATAAAGAATATGTGTGAATAATTTTATAATCAATTAGAGCTTACTTGCCTCTTCCCCATTTTACGCATACGGGTATAATATCAACTATACTAAAAGTGAATAATAGCAGCGTTATTTATAACTTGGTAATAACAGATAGATGTTTATTGACTGTTAAATTTTAGGACATAAAATTAAAATTTGGAAATCGAAGAAATAATATGATTTGAAAAAAGTGCGTTATTCATCCCGTTAATTATCATTAACGGACTTTGTTGCAGTATCTGCCTGAAATATATTATGAATATAATGTACTAATCGTGATGTAAAAGACTACAGAATAACAGTCAATCACTATTATTCCTTATACATTTTCGTCTTAATTTATTTACTCAACATGAATTGATAGGGGAGTTTTGCATCTCTAGCCGTTAAATGAAATGAATAAGACTGAAAAGTATAAATGCTTAATTATTATCATTAGCATGGTGAACAATCAATGTTACATACAATGGGGAACAATAATGCTAGAATTCTGCTAGTATATGATATTTTTGGCTAATATATCACTTAATAAGGTTACTGTACTAGATAATTACAATTTGAAAATTTTAATTTTGTACATTAAATCACCATGTCTACGCTACGTTGACCCCTACTGCAGGGTCCGTCAATGCATTAGCCAACTCCATCTGATCAATAGTTTGTATATAGGGCGTTCCCATAGTATTTTATAAAATAAATTTATCGCTTTATATAATTTCTTTCGATGATAAATTTAATTTATATTAAAATATATGGCTGTCTAATAACCACTTTAACTTAGGTTACACGACTATAACAGGAATAGATGTAATACTTCAGCTCAATCTATGAAGCTACAGAAAATTTATTTGGCTCCGCCAGTCAAGTCTTGATAGTTAGTAATACAAACAATACATTATACTCATAGATAATATTGAAACATGTAATTTTCCAGTTATTGTTATTTTAATGGGTATGCATTAAATTTATTCACAAATGTAACCAAGCACTGTCCGTAGAATCTTAAGATGTATAATAATTAAACTATTTAGATCGAATGGATAGACCGCATTCAATTTAGACGAAAATGGACGTATTTAATTACATACTCATATTTTCAGATTTATCTACTTATATCTGATAATTTCGTCAAATCTACTTGAAAAAAGTCCATTAACCAGATGTAAATTTAAATCTTTAATTTTTACAGCCACTATGTGCATTTTATTTAATCGTATGATCCTTATAATGAGATAACATAGCATAGGCTAATCAATGGAAGACAGAAAATCAGAGCCTTACGCATTTGAAATTTTGCTTTAGTTTCGATTTATTTACTACTGCTGTAATTGAAGTATAAAATTTTTTAAAATTAGGAGCGTATTAATATTGAAGATGTTCTCTTATGTTGAGTGTGTCGTTATAGTCAAAGATGCAATAATACATTGTTAATTTCTAATGTGTATTATTGAAAATTTCGTCTAAGCTTAGTGTGAATACAGAATGCTAATATTAATTGTAGAAAATATAGTGTTCACTATCAGGCCTTACCAGTACAAAATCATCCATTTACGGACCAAAGACGTTAAGATTGTCAACATATACGCTTTGTAATGACTATTTATTACTGCAACATTGTGTCGGGATAGCAAATTAGCAAGGGCTGCAAGGGCTGAAGAACTTAATGTAATATTGTAGCGACTGAGAAGCAAAATAAAATTGAGGATTAACAATTGTCCCCGTCTATATAGTATTTTAAGCCGATAAGCTATTCCCCTTTACTAAATAAACAGTTTGCTGACTATAAATCAACTTTATACACTATTGAATCATTAATCAGAACTAAAGCCTCCTAACTAAAATACGGTAACGTAGAATTCTATGCCAGATTAAATTTGACTTGCCATATACAGTCAATAAATCAATTGGTATTAAGACCTCTCTGAAGGCTTGGTAGCTAGCTAGTTTTATAGCAACTTAGAAAATGATGTTAGTATCAAAATGCATACTTGTTAATTAAATTTAACTTGCAGAATGTATGTAATAATAGTATGCTGAGCATGTGTCTGCCTACGTGACCTAGAGACTAATTGAATCAAAGATCAAATTTGGGTGTGTCGTCAACGTTTTATGTATTAGAGTAAAAGATAAGCGTGGAAAGCTACATCATATTTAATTATCCAATTCTTTACATCATCCTTTCCACATCTGCATTTACCTATTTTCGTTTGCCAAAGTTTTGTCTTAGAAATGATCGCTGGCATGGTTGATGATTGAGTATCTGCTATTATGATAGCAAGGTTTAAAGTTCAATCACCTTCAATTTAATAAAGTTCAATTATAAAAGAAGTTCTACCTCTAAAATTAAAGTTAAACTTGAGCAAATTGAGTAGTGCTCTATAGAAAGAAAGGCATCGCCAACCATTTTGTAGCGGTTGCCATGGAGAATCTAGGGGGGCATTTCCGCCCCTATTATCTCTAGCTCGGCTATTAACTATATCGATCAATATTATATTCTCTATACTGTTACTGTTTTTAAGCAAGTTTAATTTGTTTTAGTGCTAGCAGCAGCTGAAGCAGTGCCTCTTGCCAAGAAGAAGACATCATCGTTCTAATATCACCCTACAATTTAGTAATTTATACTGACAATTTACTAATGTATAGGATAGCATACTGCATCGTAGCTATTTTTAGGTAGTTTATATGATATACAGGGGGATGTAGCATGCATTTCATTCCATCCTATAGGAGTGACCATAACATTAATCCATTGCAAAATCAAATTACCTTAATAAATCCTAACCAGTCCATACCCTATGAAGAGAATTACTCCACAACTTCTGCCTTGTTTTGGGAGTAATAACAAAATTTCTAATAGATAATACTCAAATCATGGTTAATCTCCACATAGCGATATCATTAACTTGATAAGAATTGAAAATATAAATGATCGTACAAATTAGTATTTAGAATTATCATGGCTACTGATTCAATTAATTTACGCCAGCCGTCATCTGCTACCGAACAAGATAACGATTCCGATTTTAATGATCGAACAAAACTGTTATCTGATAGTCAAGAGATAAACTCAGCGAATGGATCTACCCATCACGAAGGTGGAAAAAGTAATCGACGATTAACTGTGGATGACATTGCGGAATCACTCAATTGTGGCTTATTCCAGTATTTATGCAATTTTGTCTGTGGATTATGCTTCATCGCTGAAGGTCTAATTATCCAATCGATCAGTATTATTGCCATGTCCGCCTGTGATTTAAATATCAACCCCCATAACCGAACATGGCTTAGCATGTCCTTGCTTATTGGTATCGTTGTCAGTTGTGCATTTTGGGGCCGATTAGGCGATTCCTTTGGTAGGAGGAGAGTGTTGCTATTAGCATTATTTATTAATATTACATTTACGCTTCTGTCAGCATTTTCTTATAATTATCAAATGTTAATTATCATGGCCTTCTTTAACGGATTTGGAACAGGAGGAGTGTTACCTGTAGCCTTAGCTTATGTTATTGAATTCTTTCCTCGAAAGTATCGAGGTATGGCTGGATTTTCAGCTAATGCATACTGGAGTTTTGGTAATATTTATGCCGCGGTAATGGCACTTTTAATTATAACTAGATCGATTGCAATTCCTATTGGTAATATTGTTTTGACCGGTTGGCGTATTTTCACAATAGTTTGCGCTATACCTCCGTTGATAGCATTAATCAGCTTAGCATTTATGCCGAATAGTCCTCGATTTCTAATTAAGCAAGGCAAACGAGAGAAAACATTAAGTGTAATAAATAGAATACATCGCATTAATAGTTACTGTAGCAATAAGCATAGAAATCAATCGTTGCGTATCAAATTAGCAGATTTGCCTACTATGAGTGATATACTAAATGATATTGATAAGGATGAAGGTAAAGCTAGCTGTTCATGCTGGTCTCGAATAGTACAATTTATGCGACAATATGCAATCCTTTATTCTTTAAAGTGGCGTAAAAGGACATTATTAATGACCGCTGTATGGTTTTTATTTTGCCTTTGCACTTACGGATTTTGGCTTTGGTTACCAACCTATTTCTCACTCTATGCTCATGGTCATGGACACAAATGTCTCCGCCCTGTTATTTTGAATCGTACACGTTATCACATGAATGTGTTAAATCAATCATTATCATGTATAGAAAACACCCGCAATACAGCTATTTATCGTAATTTATTTCTAACAACGCTATCAACACTCCTTGCCGAACTTATTTTTATACCTATTATTAATATATCTGGAAGAAAACTATTATTTAGTGGATTAGCTCTGGCAACGGGTGTAATTATGTTAAGCATTTGGTTAACCAATACATCAACAGGTGTACTCGTATTTTCATGTTTGTTCACTGGTATATCCGGTGCTGCGTGGCCAGTATTAAATGTATGGACTTCTGAATTGTATCCAACACAACTTCGTTCCACGTCCAATGGCTATCTTAATTTATGGGCTCGAATTGGTGCTATAATAGGAACTACCACATTTGGTTTATTATTACAAGTTAGCTGTAAATTACCAATTATTATTGTTGGCATTATATGTTTACTAAGCGCAATTCTTGCTATATTTTTGCCAGATACGAGTAAAGTAGATATTGACTAGATGATATCAATTTAATATTACTGAAATATTTAAAAGTATTTGTGATTAGTATTGCTAGACTGGATTTATGTGTTATCAGACTGGAGTAGTGGATTCTGTCATTCTAAGTTTGTTCGTAAATTTGGTCACGTATTTCATAGTCATAGTTTGAGATGATGAACTACAGTCAACTTTGCAAATGAATAATGAAAAAATTAATGATAATATAGGATCTATTTAACGATAAGAAACTGTAGTAAAGGTGCTATAACAAGGCATTAAAGCACAATTTAGGAATTCATTTAAAACATCGCGAACATAACAAATAGTTCGTTAAAATCGAAGAGATCTAAGTGGTTTCAAGATTACAGTTTCATATCCTTTACTGATAGCTTTATTTAAGCAATAGAATAGATGGCATTCCTTGAAGACGCTATAGGTTTTTAAGAGCAGAATGAAAACATAATGATTATAAGTTCAGTGTTTTTATCGTCGATTATAGGATAGAATAACGAATCAGATCGCATATTATATTTTATTGTTTTGCTGAAGTCGATTGTAGTGTATAACGAGATGTAATTTACTTTTTTGGATGATTCATTTAACCGGCGGAACCAGTACCAGCAGCTGATATACAGGATTACTTGCAATGTTGTGGGATGTAATGATTTTACATAATGTATGATATAATAAAGTTTGACGGTATATTTTTGATATACTATGACATTATTTTTACCAACAGCGTATATTTACTGCAAATGGGTGCGTCATGGATGGACAGATGCTTTAATTTTTTATCTTTATGATACGTTACAGTATAATGAAAAATGAATAACTTGAAAACTAGTAAATAAATTTAAAATTTGGTTTAATCTAAGGTTACTTGATCGTCTATACTTCAAAATATTTGACGTGCATATTGAAGTACAATTCAAATTTATGGCTCGATTCACGAGCATACCGCCATACTTCCATCGACTGTTCAATTTTACTAACTGTATAAGAACTACTGCCCTTTGTAGTAGATCTATCACTAATTATAGCATGCACCAAAACTATGCTGCAAAACGCACGTAGCGCTAACTTTATGTCTCACTCATTACTGCAATTAAATTAAACTCTAAAAAAGTTTCAACATGTCCTAATATTACGGATTTGCGAGTATAACAGCTCATTGAATTTTATTTTGCATAGCCAATTTTCAGTTGCTAAGAAATACTTTTATTGCGACATTTCCTACAATTTTACTCCTAACACGACAGTCATGTCATACAATGACGATACTTAAGGCGCATTTACTACATTACTAGACTCTATCTCGGCTTATTAAGACAAGACAGTAAATTGAAGTAGATGTCTGTTGCTATATGCACAAAACAATACACTGAAAGGATACTTGTATAAATTGTTTTAAATAATAGAATATAGGATTATGGACGGTGTATCTATAAAATACGCTATTCTCAATGGAATAAAGGGAGTAGGAATAAAAGTTTTTAAGCCTGAAAATCTTATCATATTTTCGCGTGTTCACATGCGTTCTTAGTCTGTAGCAGTGAGGAACATGAAGTATTAAGTAGTGAGTAGGCTACAGTTTCTGCTCTATTTTATGTTGTAAATTTGTGAATTAGTCGGTGGATCACCAAATCATTAGTACTTTTTCCGCATAGGCTAGTAGTCGTCCCGATCTTTGCATTGCTATTACGTTCTTTCTGATGTAACGAATAGGTAAATGACTTCTATAGCTATCATAGATAATCTAAGCTGTCTCTAAACAATTCATATAATCAGCTCTACCTTTATGATATTAATCCCTAAACTACGGGCAAGGCGCTTTAGGTTGCTCCATCAATCAATTAATAGACAGTTTACCGCTCTAACTAATTCCCTAGGGTAAATAGCCGCCATAATTATTAAATCCGGGTCTGTCTACCCTAATCGGAATGCTTTTAATAATTGTAACACTATCAGACTTTAATTATCGCATTTGTTCAAGAGATTCTATTATATATGAAATTCTTTACAGTAATATTTGCAATTGCAGGTCAATTGGTGATATTTTGGATAGAAAGAGAACGCTATCAATGTGTTTATCTATTAATGTACTTTTTACTATTCTGTCAGCGTTTTCTTATAATTATCAAATGTTAATTTTCATGGCCTTCTTTAACGGATTTGGAACAGGAGGAGTATTACCTGTAGCATCAGCTTATGTTATTGAATTCTTTCCTCGAAAGTATCGAGGTATGGCTGGATTTTCAGCTAATGAATATTGGGGTTTTGTAATATTTATGCCACGTTAACGGTGTTTTTTAATTAAAACCAAATCAATAGCAAATCCCTTTGGTAATATTGCTTTGACTGGTTGGCGTATTTTCACAATAGTTTGCGCTATGCCTCCGTTGATAGCATTAATCAGCTTAGCATTTATGCCGAATAGTCCTCGATTTCTAATTAAGCAAGGCAAATGAGAGAAAACATTAAGTGTAATAAATAGAATACATCGCATTAATAGCTACTGTTACAATAAGCATAGAAATCAATCATTGCGCATTAAACTAATAGATTTACCCACCGTAGATGATATGCTAAATGATGTAGATGAAAATGAAGATAACGTTAAAGCTAGCTATTCATATTCTCAAATACAGCAATTTATGCGACGGTATGCAATCCTTTATCCATTAAAGTACAGTAAACGGACATTATTAATTACGACCTGGTTTTTATTCTGCTTTAGCATCTATGGGCTTTGGGTATGGTTACCAACCTATTTCTCGTCCTATACTCATAGACAGAAATGTTCTCTCTCATCTCGTTTAAATCATACTAGCCATTATATAAGCACTTCACCACTAAATCAATTACTACCCTGTATAGAAAACGTCCGCAACACAGGCATGTACTGTAACGTATTACTAACAGCGCTATCGGCACTCCTTGTCGAAGCTATCTTCATACCTATTATTAGTATAGAAAAAAAACTACTATTTAGTGTATTAGCTCTAGTAATTAGTATAAGTATGTTTTGTATTTGGTTAACCAATACATCAACAGTTATACTCGTATTTTCATGTTTATTTAGTGGTACATCTGGTGCTGCTTGGAATATAAGAAATGTTTGGACTTTTGAGTTATACTCTACATAATTATGATCAACCTTCAAAGGTTACAATCGTTTATGGGGTCAAATTAGTGGTATATTAGGAAACTACAATATTTAGTTTACTTCTACAAGTTGGCTGTAAGTTACCAGTTCCTATTGCTGGTATTTCATGTTTAATAGTAGCTATTTTTAGCTCTATCTCTGCCAGATACTACTACGGCAGATATCGATTAGCTGATTTTAGTCACCAATATAACAGTATTTTTCTAACTGCAGATAACAAATGTTGAAAATTGTTTTGGAATTGAAGATGTTTAATAGGGTAATGATAAGTATCCCACTGGTAGCCAGGCCAAAAATTACTACAGTAATAATCTTTATAGTCCATCATTGTAATTTTTGAGATGGTGTTACGGTTCATCATTACCGTAAATAAAAAAAAAAGATATTCATATTTTTCTAAAGTAGAGTTGTGATATGTCAAGTCGTTAATGGATTTCCATTAATGAATGTATGATGAAGATTGTCACACTTGATTAGTGAGTTGTTAAGTAACAAGTCTAGTTGATTTGTTAATTGGAGTAAGAGTGGTAAACACTCAATATTAATTTACAGATATTTATTCTATACTGACTATCATAAATGTATGTTATACAAAACCAAGTATATTGTAAATAGAATTATGCCGATAGAAACTGGCACAGGTATATAAGAGCGTGCCTTTAATAATAGAAGGAGGTCTGATATTACATTGCCTAGTAGTATATTCTATCGCTCGAATAAAGAGGATTTATGAAGTCATCTGGATATACTCATTGCTGAATAAGGTCGTATACTGAACTGGTCGAGTTAGTGAAGCTTATTAGCAACGGTATATTACGGTAGAGCGGTTACGCTAGGAATCAAATTAGTTACTTGTGTCACAGATGGATTTGTTATGAATTTAACTCTATAATGATTACATGATCTATTTTCAATCAACTGAATATTAATGTAACAGCCTATATGAATTACGTAGATTTGATAAGATAATGCAGAGCAATTAAATTGCTCTTTTTAAGCAAGTTGCTATGTCAAATTTAACTGTAATGGATACAGCTCAGCGAAGTACCTTGGTGCCGTGTGATTGCTCTTACCTTAAAAATAGCTAGAGCGAAATTATATTGAAAATAATTTCACATATGATCCATTTTCCCTTGATATAATTTATTTGAATTCGCAAGTTCAAATTACATCAATTTATAGAATAAATCCAATATAAATTAAGCAAGGTAATGTTTTATATTATTTGCATTGCATAATAATAAAGGCTATTGGAGGCATTAATAATGCCGTAGTCGAAGAAGTTTTTAAATTAATGAAATGATCCGTGTATTAGCAAGTTACAATTAGTCTAAAAGTTATCAGATTATGGAATAAATGAACCATAAATATGCGTATTTACTTAAGCTACAACAGTTGAAAAGGATAAATGATAGTTTTAAATAGTTTACACAATGCTAAAAAAAGCCGTGATTCGATTTCTATTTCGATATTCAAGCTTGATATCTAATCCTGAATTATCATACTAAATAATTATCGATTTAAGAATCGATTTGTTAACAAATTAACAATTAAAGACTAGCTATTAAGAAGAGTTCTAAGTACTGTAGCTTTTCTAATCAAGTAAGATTTCTGGATTAGAAACTTCTTAACCTGTCTAGAATATCCCCTATAGATGTAAACAGATTACACATTTAGTACTTGATCATTTTTTATTGATATTAGCTGATTACCTTATCCTTATAATAAAACTACATAGATATTGTCTGTTACCTCCTGTTGTCCATGTTGATTTTCGAAGGCTACTGGAGTCTCTGCTATAGTAAAATAGTTAATAACGAATTTTAATAAAAAGATAATATCTTTATAACTTTTAATATCACCATACCAGCGATAGCAGCCGACTACGTGAAAATTGCATAGAGCACAGTTTAGTTGCTAATATTGCTATCTACCTTTAGCTCGGGGAAGCAAATTCTGTTCTGGCGTTACACTTCTTAAGCTGTCGTTGTGATACGAAAATTAAAGTGAGTCAGGATAGGATTCAAATATAGTCTACATAAAATTACAACAACAATTTTTTGATTTTATTTCTTACGTCTTCTTTTGGTTATGTTTGTACACAAAAACTGCTATCGCTACAATGACTAATACACCAACAACAGATCCCACAGCTATTCCAACGATTGTTCCCACTAAAATACAGATGAAAAACGTTAATACCAGCAATTAGATGATAATCTATCGCAATATCATGCGTTAATATAGAATAATTATTTGTACGTGGTAACTGTTTAGACCAACATATTAAACTCACCACTAGTAGGCAAATTTTGACAGCGATTTCCCGAGACACCTTGCGTACAACTGCAGTTAAATAATACGTATTCAATTACAATACTTAATGTTCCATCCGTTACCAAAATATTCAAATTTTCCATTGAAATATCTTAGCTTTTACTGATAGGGCTATAGTGTACTTACTTGCATTGTGCAGCACCATTAGAAGCGTAGCATGTACCTCCATTATTACAGGTATTAGCGAAACAGACAACTGAAAAACGGGGAAAAAATGTTAATCATAACAGTGTAAACTTACATCAACATATCTAAGGTTATGCATAGATGGATAAATTACATAAACAAATAGATAGATATCTTAAGAAAGATATATAGTATTTGTGAGTAATATTTATAATTATTTATGTACAGATATATAAGGGTTATACTATCCTAAGTTAGATTGCAATTTGAGAAAACATTGGTATATTATAGTTTGTAAAATTTCTGCTGACTTACGGGTGCAAGTTTTTCCATCACCCGCAGAGTGACTGTTACAAGCGCAGGTATAGGATCCATTGGTATTCGTGCATGTAGCGTTAACATGGCATGGCTTAACAGCAGCACTACATTCATTTAAATCTTAAAATAGAAAGCCAATAAAAAAGACATACACAGTTATAAGACAGGTTTTCAATATAGACCTTATAAGTGCAAGAGAAAAGTTGCGAATTCTATTCTAACATTGAAAAAATTACTAAAATTCAGATTTATGTTTCCTTGACAGATGTTATTATTTAATCATAGATGAGAATTATCAAGGATTGATTTCTTTATCGTAAATCAAATGATTGTAACTAATATAAATATTTCTTACCAATGCATAGCTTAGAGGCGATATTAAATGTAAATCCCGCTCGGCAACTGCAATTATAGGAACCGACGGTGTTGGTACACTGCTGGCCTCCAGTACAATTGTTATACTGAGAGCTGGAGCACTCATTGAAATCTATTTGGATAATTAGAATCGAAATCGATGCAACAATTTTAGCACATATTAAAGTATATGATCACGATTGAATACAAAGATCGTTACCTGATACAGCAGAAGATTGTACATAATGATCACCGATTGGATTAGTGTCCAAAATAGACTTTAACGTTGGTGTACCAAAGGTGTAATTTTGAAGCAATGTCAAGACAAAATCAATGATGATACTTCCTTGTCTATAAAGTAGTTATAATCAATAAATGAATATTCTACTATCGGTAATTTTTAAGTTATTTAGGAATTAAATTTCGTATTATCAGTAGTTACTAAATCATTTTAAAGAATAGATAGAATACTACAGGGAATGTGAATGGGGCAAAGAAAGTGATAATTTTATGTATACATCTCAAGCCGACTAATGTCGCAAGAATGACGAAATAGTTTAGAAAATTTTTCCACTAACTCATGGCGATGAAAGGACATCTTAATATGTACCGATGAGCTAATACCATATACCGTCGCTGTATAGTTAGAGAAAAACATTAAATAAATAAATAAATTGATTTTTACCTTAAATTAGTAATAGTTACAGCTTTGACAGTATTGCTGGTTCGAGTATCCCGTTGATATTGAAGTAATATCTAGGGTACATCAAAATAAATTCTTATGTTCTGTAGATCATTCTTATAATCTTTAGTAGCTAAAAGGTATTAATCGTTAATAATCTAAGCTATAATTAACTCACATCATTTTGAAATTGTATTACTGCGCTCTTATAGGCAGTGCTAGTTTTATCATTGTATTGAGGATTAAATGTGCCATTTACGGTAGCAGTTACTTGGTAAGCATCGGCTCCTAATAATTATAATCAAAAGGAAAGCGTTTATTAGGGAGAAAGCAGTAATTTCTAATTATTAGCAGGCGAATCCTGTTGTATAGATTATTATATATTAGCAGATAAATCAATGTTGTACAGATTATTATATTATACTCACGCTGGCAAGTTATGCCATCTTTGAGAGACTGGCTCAGGACTAATTGTTGATTTGGCGAATAAAGACCAGGTTTGCATTGGCAGTAATAACTTCCGTCATTGTTAATACAATCGGCAAGTTGGCCGCATGGCGTCCCGGTGCTGCATTCATTAATATCTATCATAAAGGATATCAAATACGTTCTAAATATATCCTGTCTACTTTAATAGAAAATTCTTAAACGAATGTATAGATTTGAATTTGTAGTTAGCAATCTAATAGATTTAACTAACCAGTACAAGTCTTGCCATTGCCCGTGTATCCAGCTTTGCATTGGCAGGTATAAGAACCGACAGTATTTTGACACGTTGCTTTAGCATGGCATGTACCAGGAATATTGCATTCATTAATTTCTAGTCACAGATAATTTGAAATGTTACAGTAATAAGTTAACGGAATAGAAACTATGTCATTCTCAACCAGAATTGATTCAGTAATATCTGTCAAAAACCTGTGCAATTTCTGCTATTAGGATGGAGTTTGTAGCCTGCTGAACATTGACAATGAAATCCACCAATGGTATTATTACATATCATTTGGCATAAATTATTGTTGGCTGTACATTCGTTAATATCTGTCCAAAATAAAATATTGAACACAATTTAATACTGCTTCAAATTTGTTTATTAATGATCTGTTGATAAGTGAAATGTGAAGAAATCGTATAGATTAGCAGTGTTATTTCGAAGTCAACAATACGCAACTCATAGAAATTGTGGAAGCTAAGTAAACTATCTTAATAAGTTATAGGTATTATCGATGTTTTGAAAATTTCTGAATTTTCCCTAACCTGCACAACTTTTTCCATCACTTTGTAAAGCGTATCCCTTCCTGCAAGCACAATAATCAGTTCCATTGCGCTGAACACAAATATGGCTACATGAGTTGGTTCCATTGCATGGAATAGTAACTACGTTGCCAATAAGGTCGATATAAAAGAACGAATTTACATTTAGTGTGATATACCTTACGCGTACAGTGCTAAAAAATTGTTCAATAAATCATTTCTGTTTCATTTGATCTAAGATTATGCAAATTTATAGCACTATATAGAGAATTACTACGATCAAACTATTCATTCTAGGCGTTTTACCCTGTATTACTTATATCGTAGACCATAAATATGGTCATCAAAATTTTAATAGCTTCAATTTGTATGATTCAAAATTTCTAGTTAGAATAATAAGTAAACGATTACTTGTTATGTATATAGGCTAAATGGTATGATCTGGATCTAAAAGACAAACTAATTTTTCGTTGTGATGACCTAGATAGTACTATATTCTAGCTATAATTAATTAGCCATCGTAAATTTTAATTATTTTAATTTTTTTATCATACCATTGCAAGTTGAGTTGTCACTACTGAGAGTAAATCCGGGATCGCATGAACACTCGAAAGAACCAGGTAAATTTTGACAATTTTGCGAGCAAGTTTTTGGATTGAAACATTCATCAATATCTAGATGCAGTCAAAAATATCATATCAGCCTGGAAGGCTTAGCCATAGAAGGAATGACATCAAGGAATAAAAATGCAATATCGCATTATCTTAAAAATAAAATTATTTGCAACTACCATCGCAAGCTTTTCCATTGGCGTTTAATCTATATCCGGGCTGGCAATCACAAATATAGCTGCGGAAGGTATTGATACAAATTTGTTGGCAAGTATGAGTGGTAGAATTAGCACATTCGTCTATGTCAGTACAAATTCGACCATCTCCTGTAAGACCCGATGGGCAGCTACCGCATGTAAAGCCAGAAAGTGGCGCCTTATGATCGGTACAAGTAACATTTTCAAAGCATGGAGCTACAGAACAGCTATCGAAATCAATGGTACAATGATCACCAGTCCAACCCTCTAGACACCTACATGGAACTTGCGATGCAAAGCCATCATCAACGAATTCAGCGCTAAAAGAAAGGTACAGTAATCAACATTTAAATTTATCATTATGCAACCATTGAGCTCTATCCAATTTTAGTGTAGTCCATATCCCATTGCATAAAATCAATAAAGTATTGATATCGGTTACAAATTTCAATGTTATAGCAAATAGTTACGCTACCTGTAATCACATTGGCCTCCATTAGCACAGTGGCACATAATAACTTGTGCTGGTTGATAAATACTAACAGCATCATTAGAATCCTTAGCTACAACTTGGATGCTAAAATTAGTATACTGGGTTACTGTCCATTGAAACTCATTTATTGCTTGATTAAGTGTCGCATTATTTGGTAATTTAAGGGCATCAATTATAGTAGTGTCATCAGGATTTCGATCAGTAACGTTAAATATGAATTTTAACGTTTGGCCGAAAGTGACATTGAGAACAGCTGGTCCAACAATATCGGGTGGGAAATTTTCTATGGAAGCAAACATACAAGAGGTTAGAATAGGATTAAAATTATTATCAGATAAGTTAGTAGTTTGATACAGTAGAGAAAAGCTGGAAAGAAAATTGATAATCATATTATTGCATGATATCGTCGATAAGTCAATATCAATATTCATCTCATTTCCCACTTTTGCTCTTTACCTGCTTGTTTTTCAGCTGAATTGAAACTATCGACATTTTCTTTAGCTTGTACAGCCAGTTTGATATCTAACGTTTGACTAGCATCATATAAACAAGAAAGATCATTGCCACATGCTTGTTGAGCTTGTTGTAGTAATGCAGTGTTATCACCAAACAGTGCAGTAATATTGTCGCTAAAAACAGGCACAAATGTTAAGTCAGTAAAATTTGCATGTGTAGTCCCAGGTGGATAGGTAAATAGGGATTGAGATTGACTAATTTGCCCTACAATAGATGGTCAAGAATAAGAATATTAGCAGTCCATTGTCAACGATTGTATTAATAAAACTTTCTAGTTTGAAATAATGCTCTGCATGCCTCTATTCGATTTCAAGATTTAAAACATAACAGGAAATAATATGAGCAACTCATCAACATACATGCTTGTCCAAATTGGTAAAAGATTTGCGATTCTGTTGAATTAATCTCTACTACTGTATCATCAGGACGTGTAAAATCATCTTCCATATTACCATTCCATACACCCAACAATCCACGCGTTTGACCTCGATAAACTGTTGGAATGTTGACTGCGATATTAATCATACCAACTAATGGTGTAACTTCTAAACTAACACCAGAGGAAAAGGCAACAATTAAGCTGCCATTCCTTGATAATGAAAGATCGACATTGTTGTATTCACGTGATACGTTAACGCTTAAATTAGTCATGGCTAATGACATAGTACTATTAACAAGGATTGTAAAATTATTCGTTTCAAGGTCAAGTGTGCCTTGGATAATATCGGAGCCATTTTGCTTGGCTGAAAAAGCAGTGAAAACAGTTGCACTAGCGGATTGTGTTCCATTAACCAAAGCTCGAGCTGTTCTCGCTTGTACAACCAAGTAATTGTTGTTGACATTGACTAAGGTATATTCTCCTAATCCATTAAACGTATATGTTTTTCCATCCAAAGTTTTAATATGAGGATCGCCCGCAAACCAAGCTATACAAGAAAAATACGAATCAAGTTCAACTTCATTCAATTTCAAGAATTCAAAAAAATTTAAAACAGGCGTAATTTCCGATTCAAACTATGTCATTCGCATGGCTTAAAAAAACAATCAAGTCATTTTCTAAGTTACTATAAGGCTGGAAATGCTTTTCCGATCAAACATAAAATTATAGCTATAACTCAGTAATATTATAGAATTTCAAAGTCTTAATCATTCCTGGTAGCTAACGTACGTCAATACGTTGATAAAACTGATTGAATAAAATTTTACGTTTTATTACGGACATGGCCAGAGTTATAAAACATGCTCAATGTGATTTAGAATAGTAAAATTTTAAAGATCTATCAATAGAAAACTAAATTATAGATGTGAAATGGAAAGGTTGAAATCTTAAAAACTCATTTATTGTAGGATAGGTACACTAGGAACCCTGAAATGCTTACTTCGTCTAGGTGGAATATAGCCTCGGCAACTACCACTCCTTCTTTTACTGTAATACAATCGGCATAATGGCGATTTTACACAACAGCTCAGATAGGCATCCTGATCAATATTTCGTAACTGTCTATTGGCGTAAGTTAAAGTTCCACCATCAGGCCAATTCTCGACTAAAGCACCGAAACGATTTCGTTGGAAAGAATAACAGCAGACTCTATGCATCTAATTTTGAATTGAAGGTTTACGGAAGTGGATATAAGATATTTATAGTCAATCGATGGCTATCATATGGCTAACATCAGATATTAGAAGTAACCGACTTACCCGCTGTCTACGATCACCTAAGAACGAGCCTATGGTTGGAGCTGCAAATCGAGTTTGTGCACATGGAAATCGAGCAACTCTACCCCAAAATGTAAATCGACGATCGAAAAACACCTGGATCCAACTGCACGGACATGGTGATTGCATAAAGGAAGTATAGTAATTTAATGGATGCTGATTGAAGAACCAAGCTAAACATTTCTGTGAATGGCTAATGTGGTCACCGGCTGGATCCAAGCGGAATGCCCATTGGCCCGTTTTATTCGTATTTCCAACTCTAGAATCAATTAAATATAGCTGTCGGCTGCCAGATCCTGCGATCTCATGATGGATAGGTTTGCCAGCACCTTTCGCATAGCCTGTACGAGGCCTTCCATAGAAGTAGAAATAACGTGAGCGGGAATTAATCTTCCACCATTGCATACCTTCGTACTCGTAATTCCACAGGGTAAACGTATTTTGGCCATTACTAACCAGAACGAGCTGAAAGGTGTTTGTCTACGATAGTTTTATTAGGATGAAAAGAGAGAAATAAATTAAAGCCGTCCGTATCAATTCTAACGAAGAATGAATAATCTGCTGATATTATAAAATTAGACTACGATTTGATATAATTAATGCTACAACTATGCTTGGAATAAGGTGTGGAACATGATCATTCGACTTTATTTCTAGGAATATTAGCTATGGATAAATTAAGCTGTTTCCATCATATACTTAATAAATGGACTTATAAGGGAATTTAGAGCATCTTCGCCCAACTTACAAAGCCGTAACTGTTATAATAATATGGATAGGGTGCTATTTTTGCCCAAGTAATAACGATGACACTGGTAGCAACAAAGTTAGGCACTTGAGTATGAAAATGACCAAACTCGGCTTCTACTTGTTGTGGGGTATGATTGGCAGCGTAAGCTTTCATCCTTTGCTGAAATTCATTAACATCTCTTGTTGCTTTATCTAACATAGCTTTAGACTGAGATGTTCTATCGAATGAATAATAGCCATGATAGTAAACTGTTGCATTTTTTGCTCGGTAATCTGCAGACATAAAGAATGGAGCTAGAAGAGGAAAGTAATAAGTACGAAATCGAGTTGGCCAAAATGTGCACCACTGAAATTTAAATGCAACATAACCATTGGAGCAAATCTGTAAAATGAAATCAGAATTTCAAGTTCAGATTCTAACGGATTATATCCATAATGTGATGGTACCTAGCATTGATAAGCTTAAATGAACAGGTAATAGGTGTTAATCATGGAGTATCAGTTACTATGACAGAATTAATTTAAGCAATAAACAGGGTAAATTTTGGTTAATACTTAACCTATTTCATGATAATGATGAGTTAATTATTAAACTATACAGAAATGATGATTGTAAAGCTTTAGAACTATAACTTGCATCGATATGGAATAGAATTGCTATTAATATGCGCTTCGATAGAAGGTAACTCAATCGATTTGTAGAAATAGGTTAAAAATATTTAACTGCTTTGTAAATTTTTCTTATTATAGTAATAATGTTAATGTAGACCAAATTGTCATTTTATAGATATTACGTTTGCAAATTCCATTTATTTTTTAGCTTTATTCACCGTAACTGCCTTAAGCTATTCTCAGGTTTTACTTACTCGAAAGTTATTGTAATATTGATCCAGGAAATAGATTGGTGTTCGTAATTGGAAACGTTGTCCAGGAACAACACTCCAACGCGATTTGTATATCGATGCGTCTCCTTGAGATTTTCCATACGGATATAGCCTTGGTTCTGAAAAGATAGAGATGATTGCCAATTAATTCTAACCTATCCCAAACTTATATCAATTTTGTCATAGACATTAATTTACAATATACGAAATAAACTTAACGTGCAATTCTGATCATTCAAAGTATTGCAAAGCAGCACATTAGCCTATCGAAATAATATTCTATTCCAATTCTATTCCAATTTATTTCTACGACTTACGTCGAACTGGGGTTGGTTGTGGAGTAGTAGCAACTTGAGTCGGTGGAAGTGATATACTCGACATCATCTTAGTTGAACTAGTTAAGCTAGTTGTTGCAATAATGATGCTAGTAGGTGATAATGATTGCGTAACTACTTCCACTATACTAGAAATAGATTCAATCGAGGTAGTTATGCTTGTTGTAGGGGAATCAGTACTGGAGGTTGCCATAGTTTCAAAGCCCTTTACATCACTTGTCACAGTATTTAAACCATCGTTGGATAATTCTATCTGGAGAGACATTTCCGCTAATTATGATAAAAATGCCAGTAAACATTTAATTAAAGCAGAATATTAAAAGCGATAAAAATATTTCATTTTCGTTAGATATAAACACGTAATTGATCATAGATTTATCCTAGCAAATATGCATATTAATTTAATTTCTGATCATCGTATACATGGTAGTATCACTTCAAATCAATTTAAGTAATGAATGCATAGTGTCATATTCTTTTACAGGAATTAGTTTACGATTTGCTTACTGCCATTTTATCATAAGTAGATGACGTCTTTTGACTTTAATTAAAACTTTAAATGCCCATTCATAAACTTTCTTATTTCTAATATGAATTTTAAAGCTTCAATATCATAGTTAATCACTCCAAAAACTTATTAAAAGTACCCAAAGTTACTTTATTTTCCTACGTTTTTCAACCATCATTCCTCATTAATATCAATTTTAGGACAATTTCTTCCCCATTGAATTTCTGTTGATTCACAGAGTTTTTAACGATTAAACTAGCCAATATCCGGCGCACCATAAGGCAATATTCTTCCATGAATAGGATTGAATATGTGTTTTGCTAAATACCTTTGATTAGGGCGCTTTATAAGAATACTTTTATATTCCAAATCATTAGCTGCTTCTCTCAATACATCTCGCTTATTTAATCACAAATAGCTATGCCTAATGATCAGAGCATAAAGTCGATTGATTGATTATAATTATGCACCTCTTTCTAAATTTATAAATTGAAATTCTCATTTCATATTGAAAACAAACTTCTCAGGCCTTCACCCTGATTATTTTAATTGACAAATTTTCATTAGAATATTGTTTTGCAATGAAAATAGTACATCATTCATTACCTAATTATTACCTTCTTTCAGTTAATATTATCAAGTACACATCCCTCTGTTATAATATAAACTATTTTTCTATCTTTATTTCTTTGTCAATTCAAGAATAATGCTTTAAATTCATCTTAAAGTCTTGTTTACTGTGAAATAATAATAAATTACAGTATGTTTTTTAATCAAAAATGGTACTTGCAGCAGTTACTTGGGACATTTTTACTAGATCAAAGCAGACAATGTTCAAGTTTGTTTCAAAACATAAAATTCCAAGGATTATTGTTTTTGTGATGATGTACTATTCCTCAGGAAATTTGAACCCTATTCGATATACTCCTGTTTGTGATCTATAATAAAGGAATAGCAGGGCTTCTAGCTAGATTAATTTACCCCCTAGATTAGTAGAACTGTACAGTATAGAACAATGTATCATGATGACAACTAATTGCTCTCGATCTGTTTTGTCCAATATGTGGATCGAATCGGTAGCCCTAAATTAGATCTTCTGAGGTAAAAGATTGATTTTGTCGTTCAGTAGACTTTCAAAAAATATTATAAAACCATCTGCCTTTTTAACATCCATTTAATCCTGTGATTACAATCTTTTCAGAAATATCATAAACAAACTTGACGTCACTCATTAAATATGATGTTTAATTATTAAAATCTTAGAGTCTACAAATTTTTTACCGAATAACCTATAACTATAATTTCAGTCTATCTATGGAAGTTTAGAAATTTTACTTTGTAAGACAGTGTAATATTGTATTCTAAGTTGATGATATATTTAATAATGTCTACCGTAGATGTTGTGTTCAACATGTGATAGATATTCTCGTTAGAGGCTTAAGTATTAAATATAGCTAGCTTAGTAACTGTAATCCTTTTGAAGAGGAGCGCTGCAGTGCTCACACTAGAGCTTCACATGAAAGGTGTAAACTATCTTGTATTTGAGATGCTAATACTAAAGTGTGTAGTAAGTAAGGTGCTAAGACTGTAAATGCGGAAAAGTACATAAGCGAGTAGTTAAGTATAGTAAGATAGTTCTTTCTCGTTAGAGGTCCTCAGCTAATCGATTACGTAGTATCTTTGTAAAGGAGGTTTTGTTTAATAAATCTTAATTTTCTAAAGTTTTGAAGATTCTTGATCTATCAACCTCACATACTTATAGGAAAATAAAATAAAAATGTGCAAATTATAATAATTGAATTTAAATACATCTATCAAACTAGTCAGTAATCTATTCTGTAGTCAAGCGATGGGTAAAAAATGAACTCAAAGCGCTTGTAGTTACAATTTATCGGTTTAAAGATAATTATAACTGAGCGTGGGCATTAACCGAAAGTATTAAATGTATGCCGCCATCATGAACAAAATCTATTCTCAATACACTTTAAATTCCAATAAAATTGGATTTGTCAACTTTAATCATTTACAATAATTAATATGTCTAAATTTTTACGGCAATTAGAGTAATCAAAGACAAACGAGGGAATAGAGTTTACCGGGAACGTGAATAATATTAGATAATTACTGCTGTTGAAGGAGAGAGCCCAAACAAGATATTAATTAGTTTTCAGGTAAATTAACAGTGCAGACAAGGTAGAGATCAGGTTGGTAGGTAGGATTATAGATTTGCGCAAATATCTATTGGTAGAAGAATCAATTCATGTCATAACATAGAATTTAAGAGAAGGTCATTTATTTTCGGTTGCTTAATCATAGGATCAAATTAAAATATAGCAATGGATTTTGGTCATTGAAACTATTCTTAATTTTAAATTAAAAATATTGCCGTTGGTAAAATTATTGAAATTCTAACGTCCTTGGCCGTATTCTTTGGATTGGAACTAATTTATAATGAAATGAACTCATACGGTCATCTTTTAAAAATAACATTAAAGAGAATTTTTATAATTTTTGTTTTATTTCTGTTAGTTAGTAATAGAAATAACTAACCTCATGGTTAAAATAATAATCTTAATGCTTACTAATAAAATTTATGTATTTTTTTTTTCCCATTTCCTTTGATATTTAAGTGCTATATGTATAGCATTGGTATAAAACGAAATTAGTCTTAATTTGAACATCATTAAAGAAAATCTGAAAGCAGTAATGTCTACTCTTATGGCTCGATAGTAGGACGAGTTGAGTTTGGGGAGAAAATGAAATGGACCAGAATTTGATATTATAGAAAACAATTATTAAAAGTTATTCTTATCCGTCTTTCTATATTTGTTAGATTTATAATTTGTGATTGAGTAACAAAATTAGTCTCAACTTTAATAATATTAGAGAAAATTATCAGGAGGTGGTACTCTTCATTTCCTTTCGATACGGGCTTAATTATTATGGTTATTTACTTAGAAAATTAAAATCTATTTAATCTTTTTATATTGCCAAATAAACGATAATCAGTAGTGCCCATTTCTATCCTTTAGAGATTTTTTTGACTCCTAGTTTCAGTAGGAAAGAGAAATTTGATTCTAATTTCTATTGTAGACAAAGATATTTCTCTTTTCCGGCGATATTTATGGTCTATCCATTCATTACATGAACTGCAGTAGCAAATTAGTATTAATTTTCAATGTTGATGCTACAAGTAAATATTGATATTTCTTCATTTTAACTTACATCTAGCTAACTTATAATTTAATATCAAATGGTGAAATCGATATTTAATTTTAACATTATATAATCATCGTCAACAGACTTGATCATTTTTACTTCTTCAAAATCTGCGTAACTCAAAAGTAGAAATATTAAATTAGTCTTAATTTTAATAACAGTAGTGCTAATTAAAACTAAACATTTTCTTACAAGAAAAAACTTTGGATTACTTCCTATTTACTGTTACCAAAGGAGGAATAAATGACTAATAGAAAACTGGATTGAAGAATTATAACCATTAACTAAATATATTTTCTTTCAAGCTGGCTGAATAATTTGAATAACATTTACTTTACTGTACTATAATTGCCAAGGGAAACTTTCTTCTTCCTAACTGATTTATATTGTTAGATTAGCAACCTATCATGTAATCCGAAACTAAAATTAAGTAAGTTTTTTAGGAAAAGGATCAAAATTAATGAATTATAGGATAAGTTTTCTAATAGTATTCATAATGCAAAGTATCTATTTTTCTGCAGTATCAGCGACAGTTAGGCGTGAAAAGCGAAGAATAAAAACTTTAAGCACTGATAGCACTCATTATTTTCAGATATCTCGGATTTTATTCTAATAGTCCTGATAAATTTTTAAAAGTTTAATAATTCGTAGTGAAAATTAAAATAGGCGTGATTGCTTTAACATTAAATTAAAATTTCTGCACTGATCGAAAGAGATTTGAGATTTTAAGGATAGGTACGTTAACTACTGCTGTCAATAACTTGACATGTTATTTTTAGCCAACAACAGACGATATTAATTGTAACGTGCTTACAAGAATGGGATAGAGAAAATTTTGCTCCGCCTAACCTATTGAAGTCATTTCTTGTTGTAGTATGTATAATTTGAGTAAAAATATTGTCACTTTTAACTATTCCAGAGTTTTATTCTCTATATCTGAATAGAGCGGATGATATCAAAGACTGTAATAGAAGAAATAACAGTGGGAAAATTCATCTTTTCATCAATCAATTTAATCCCAGCGAAAAAAATGATTGAAGAGAAAGACTTGTTAAACGTATTACTTCTCTAATTGCTAGCAATGAATAGTCTATCAAACGAAATCAAGAGTAAAAATTAAGCAAAAATTTGTTGTTTTGTGGGTGAATTTGATTGCTACTATAGCGATTATGACGAAGAAACTAAATCGAATACCAATAAAAATATTGATGGACAACATGCGAAAATTATATACAGTTGTAATCCCTTATCCTTCTAATTGTCGATAATGCGGTAGTGATCAATCAAATTGCATAGATGACTCAGGCTAAGATATGCTTTCATGGAGTATACAATCACAATTCAAAAGAGTCGTGATTAAAAAATTAGCCCAGTATGAGTTATAAATTAGACGGCAAGGGAAAACAACTGCATAAACTTATAAATTCTTAAGCTGTTAAGTGGTAAGAGCCTATGGATCGATTTGT